AATAAGTTTATTCCAAGTAAAAACCCAAATATACTTGAAGACCTAATGAAACCAAATGAAATTAATCGTTATTTTATTGAATCTATTCCAATAATCGAACCACCTGAAGAGGTCAGAAATTTTTACAAAAATAATAAAATTATTGATTTTAATTTTAATTTTAGAGAAGTTAATGACCTTTTCGTTTTTAAGACGATCTGTGATATTAAAACTAATGCCAAGTGGAGTGATTGATTGAATATAAAACTGATTAAAATTTGCTGCCCTCATATAGTACCCTATATTACCCATATACTAAATTTCTGTATTACTGAAAATGTCTATCCTGTAATGTGGAGGAGAGCAGGTTCTGTCAAAAAAGCAAAGCCCAGTAAGTTTTAAAGATTTACGTCCAATAAGTATTTTGCCTACTTTATCAAAAATATTAGAAAAGGCCATAGAAAGTCAGATAAAAGATTACCTACATCAACACTCGTTATTACCCACTGTTCAATCGGGCTTTCGCAAAGACTTCTGTTGTACAACTGCTCTGCTCCATATTGTTAGGTTAGGTTAAACTTTTGCACATATTTTTATATTTTCATATAAATAATAATATATATTTTTTTATAATTTTTATTGATTGTATTTCGAGTAATTTTAGGTACTTACAAATAATACAGGATTATCTAGACTTCGCCCTTTATTTTCATTTACGCATTTTACGCCAAAGAATATAAATATTGTAATTTATAATTGTTTACTGTTTATTTGAAAATAATAAAGACGATTTATTATTATTATTATTGTTTTATAAATATTTTATCATTGACAAATTTAAAGAAAAATGCAACTTAAACATAAAATGTTATTTTACAAAAAATAAATTCTATGTTTTATTCAAATGTAATAAACGATATTTATAAAATAAAATTAGGTTTCAAATTATTACACTGCTAATATTGTTTATAGGTAGATACCAGTAAACTGTATATTTAAAATGGAACAACAATCCCTATTGACAAAACTAAGCCAAATTGAATTCGCGCATTACGTCACAGGACTACTGCTGAGATTGTGCACAAAGTGTTTTTGCAGGTCCGTTTTTATAATTTCATGTACTTATTTTAAAATCAGGAAAAATTAATATTTCTGAAACTCAACAATACAAAAAATCCAATTTAATCCCGTTATATACCTGAAGGTGATATTCTTACCACTTGAAGTGATAAATTTCAAATTTTTTACCATATACGGGGATGTCAAAAAAGAGGAATTAGGACAGAGTTACACTTACTTTTAAAAATATAGGAAAAATATTATATAGAATGTCTCTATCTCAAAAAAATTGATATGTAATAGATTTTATCATTTCTTACTCTAAGAATAAACGTACTATATGCTTTGAAAGTAATTTGTAATAGATAGACCAATCTATAAATTTGTTAAAACTTACTTTTATGTAACATTTTTCCAAGAAGAATCTAATGGAGACTGTTAAGCCTAATAGAAACAATAGATCTATTTACAAAGCATAAAAAGGTTGAAGTGACGAGGCCTTAAAACCTTGACTAGCGGCATTTATTTCATTCAGATAATATATTTAAAGTTTAGTAAAATGCTAAGATAAAGTAACTGTAGCTTTATTAGTAAAATAGTAATATCAACATTTTCCATAAAAACGTCCGAAATCTAGCAACATATTCAGGTTTTATTTTTGTTTTAATAAACTAAAAGAACTTCTTATCATTAATAACAATTTTATAAATGAGAAATACATTTTTCACACAAATGTCATTTATAGAAATAAAATAGATATTTGTGTACCAAAGGCTATAAGTATAGAGTTGATCTTTTTGGCCGAATCAGAAATGTACGGCCGAGGCCAAGTAACTTCTGGTAAGTAAATTTGACGCTAGTATCTAGCCAGTTCATTTCTAGATTGTATGCATTATGTCTGAAAAACCTCCTCATACATTTAAATCACATAAATTTCGTCTGTTTACTAGCAAAACACACTAAGTCAGATTTGGTGAAAAATCCATTAGTCACTTAATGTATTTTTCCTGAATAAAATATTACTAATTATGGACTTAATAGAGAGCTATTGCAAATTTCTATAACGTCAGCCACTAATAATGATAAAGTAATAAGACGCATACATTCCATGCTAAAATAAGACTTATTGCAAACCTGAAGTTTTGACATTAGAGTCCTTGTCCTTATCAGGGACCCGGACCGAAATGAATTTAACGGTTCCGGTTCGGTTCGGGTTCTAAACTAAACATTTTGGGTCCGGTTCTTTTAAAAATATTTCGGTTCGGTTCTGACCAAATTCTTCGGTCGAAACGGTTCTTTTCAGTACAAATAATCCATACCTTTATAATCGCTTATAAAGGACAAACCTTATAAATATTAAAATTTGAGTTTTAAATAAATCACAATCTTTAATAAAGTCTCAGTTCTCGAACGTAAACGATCTGCGCATGTTCAGATGTCAAAATAATAGCAGCGCTAATAGTGACTGACGTTAAATGAACTTGCAATAACTGTCTATTGAATACAGGGCCGACTAGGGGGGGGGGGGGTAGCCGGGACTAATTCCCGGGGCCCGGACTCAAATAGAGGCCCGGCAGCGGTATAAGGGGGGCCCGGCAACTGGATATTGTTTGTTTTGTATGAGAAATTCGACACAAGACGAGAGGGGAAAGTTTTTGGTTGGGGAGCTGTTTTTTTTTTTAGAAAAAGCAACGCAACTCAAGCAGAGGAAGAAAAGTTTTTGCTTGAGGAGCTTTTTTTTAGAAAAAGCAATTCAAGTAGAAGATGAAAAGTTTTTGTTTGAAGAGCTTTTTTCTCATGCACAGTGCCCGATCTAGAGCATTGTCCTGGGGCCTGGCCTGGCTCTCGGCGGCCCTGATTGAATATGAAAATAATTTAAAAATAAGGTTATAACTGTTAGATTTGTCTATGTACAACTTGTGTGTAATAATGTTTTGTATATGACTCAATAAAGGTTTATCCAAAAATGTATAAAAATACAATTAATGCAAAGGATATAATAATTTAAAAACAATAAAATAATTAAATATAAAAATCGAGTATAAAATAAATAAAAAAAAAAAAATTACAACATAAAAGTTGTAATTATAAATAAAAAAAATTGAATAAAATTGGTACGTGGAGTGTCAATTTTCAAAGAAATATATGGATAACCCAGGTTTGACATATAAGGCTAATATTTTTGACTTATGACAAAAATTAAAATCACTTTCGAATAGAAAAATCGTCTAGCATTAGAGAATACCATAATCCTCTGCTTGTCGTATTGGTGATCGAACTTTGTTGCCAAGTCCTCTTGGTGCTTTTGTTGCTATGCGTTTTCGGCTGAAAGTTAGAGAATAACCCCCTATGACTTGTTTTAGATTAACAAACTTCTTATTAATAAACTTTCAACATGTTTTTAAAGTTTTTGGAATTTAAGATATTTTAATAATCTTCAAAATAATAAGTGCCATATATATTTTCTAAAAATGGGTATTTTAAATTTATCTATTTTTAGCATAACTTTTTTTCTTTGAATTTAGGCACTTTTATAGATGTCTTTTTTATAAATTGAATAACCTATTCTATAGCTTCTGGAGCAATGTCGGTGAAACAACTTGAATTTTATGATCCAGTATGTGCAAATTATAATTGAATCGTTTATTTGGAAAAGGAAACATGTCCAATTTTTGGGTATTTCAATTTTATCAACTTCAACCGTTCCTAATTCTAGGTTTTGAGTCCAAATTTCCATCGCTTCAAAGTTTGTAGGAAACCTGCATAAAACATTACTAATAATGTTCCACAATATATGTGTACCACCCATGTTTTTTATTTACTTACCTTTGAAACGACGTGAAACTTCTCCAAATTTAGGGAAAACAGACATTGAATAGTAATTTTTAGACTTACAACTAACACAATTCGTTTAAAGGAACCTTCTAGAAACTCTAAACAATTTTCGTGCTGCTATTTAAAATAGACGAATCATATCAAAGACCCAGGAGAAAGGGAAAGTAATAGAAAAATCGGTTCATGCTGGCTTCAAACAAATCTAGACCGTTATCTGAAGAAGTACTTTAAAAATCTAATAGTTGGATTTGTAGTGTGTCAGTTTCGGGGACTTATTTTATTGTTTTTTATATATGTTTCGTTACCATTTAGAACATGTTGATAGTTGTGAAAATTTTATTTATATATGTTATTAAAATTAGAACATAATCAGATCGGTTGTAAATTTTTCACAATTTATATGGTAAGTTTACATCAAAGTTATTTCCCTTTAATTTAGTTTCTTTTAGATAAAGTAGAACCAAAAAATATAATTCCAAGTAGGTATATTAATTTTGGTTAGATCAAAGATTTTGCATCTCACATTTTGAGTTATTTTGATTGTAAAAAATAGCATGATTTGAAGTTTTTTCCTTCTAAGCGAACTATTAGACGCTAAACTCAGATTATAATATTATTAGATTATAAATGCTGCCTAAGAAAAAACAACCGATATAATGATCAGTGGGGGAAATAATTAAAAGAAGATAATGTGAAGTCGTTAAGTGTAAATAGTTTTATGAATTAGCTGCTTTGGCATCTTATTTCTCTCATTGATTTCTATAATAAATTAAATCTAGTATCTAGGTATAAGACATAATTTTACCCTGCACCCTGCAGTAACATGTGGCTGTTATAGGTAAACTTACGAATAAAAGAAGTGCAATGTTACCCGTCACCCTAAAGTATGCTGCGGTTGTTATAAGTAAAAGTAAGAATAAAAGAAGAAGAGATAACAGTGTACAAATGTCTAGAAATATCATTCTGTGTTTAGAAATATCTGGAAGTTTCGAGAAAATCAAGGGAGATATATAAGGCGATGATTTTGACCTCCCAAAATTTTAATGATAGCCGTTATATTTTGTTAATGTTAATAGAAGTATTGAAAATAAATTAACTATACCAAGAACCAATGTAACATTACTTACCCTCTACTGAAGAATATACGATTAGTAAATCCGGATACAAAAAATTGGTATTAAATGTTTGTGAAGGAGCGATAACTGAAGATGTGGAAGAACTTGGTGTCTTCTGAATACCTGTAGTTGAATAATTGTCTCCTTTGCATGCCTAAAAGAATACAAAATTGTTTTTATTCGATGTGTTAAAAAACGTCGGTTTTTCTGACTGGAAACATAATCGAAAAGTAGAACCTTTCTATACAGGGTGAGGCACCGAAAACGTAACAGATCGCATATCTTGAAGACACATTTTTTTGGAGAAAATGCAAAAAGATCGATTTTTATTTCAAAGGGGACATCTTTCGATCATATCCTCAACTATCCTACATCCCTCCCCACCCCTCTGTCGCTATTACCAATGAAATTGAAATAGGGAAAGTACTAAGTGTGACACATCATTGAAAAGGTAATTTTATAAGGAATTTGACTGTGTGACAGTTTATTACGTAACTTTTTATTTTGGCGCCATCTTGCGGAAAAAGTTTCCGTATTTTAAATAATAATACCAAATTTGAAAATAAAACTCATTTAATTGACAATTCATAATAAAAATAAAAAAAGTAATAGAAAAGTGAACATAAAAATTAAATTGAAAAATTTAGGACAACTCCCATAATTAAAAACTAAATTACTTCAAAGTAAATGCTCAAAGTGTTGTCCATTAACTTCCATACACGAATATAAATTATTCTCAAATCTTTGTCTGGCGTTTTGGAGCATTTCTGGAGTTATTTGACGACATTCGGTAATAATACGTTCACGTAACTCTTCTAAGGAACCTGGCTGAGTGGCGTATATTTTACTTTTCATATATCCAAATAAAAAGTAATCTAAGGGGGACAGATCAGGAGATCGTGGGGGCCATTCAATAAATCCTCTTCGTCCAATCCAATGTCTAGGAAAGTTTTCATTTAAGTACTGACGAACCGCTGCAGCAAAATGTGGAGAAGCCCCGTCCTGTTGAAATATTAGGTGATCTTCAAGGTATCGCTTATCGTTTTCTATTGTGTCTGTTAACAGTGGATCAACGGTGTTTTCGAGTAATTTCAAATACATATCCCCAGTTAAATTACCTGGTAAAAATAATGGACCAACAATACGATCGCCAAATATTCCAGCCCAAACGTTTAACTTTTCTGGGTGTTGAGTATGCGTTTCATGAAATACTCTTGGATTGGAATCTGACCAGTATCAACAATTATGTCGCTTGACAGTCCCGTTAACATAAAAACTGCATTCATCTGAAAAACAAATGTTATAAAGAAAATGTGCATCTTGTATAGCATGCTCGCTCATGATTTCACAAAATTGCAAGCGGCGATCAAAATAGTCTTCGTTAAGTTCCTGAACTAAATAAATTTTATAGATATGGAATTTGTTAGCTTTCAAAATTCTCCTGACGATACGGTCACTTACTCCAGATAATTCTGCAAGCTTCCTTGTACTAAGAGTTGGATCTGCAACAACTTGTCTTAAAACGGGTACCTCTACGGCTTCGTTTCTTACTGGATTTTGAATCTGCCGTTTTTTATTTTGAACGGATCCTGTTTGTCGAAATTTTGAAATAAGTTCCAAAACAATTTTTATGTTTTACTCGCTAATAGAGCTACAGCACAGTTTATAGCTAAAGAATCAGTTAGCTCACTCGGACCAATTGGATGTTCCAAAATAACATCCTCTTCAGGGATACACATTCTGGATGCGAAGAAGACTGCTGTTTAAATATAGGAGGTTAGGTTAGGTTAGGTTAGGTTAGGCATTCCAAATAAATGAACTGCCAGTGGGAAGATTTGATATATCCAAGGGTTGCGACATACGATGTATTCTGTTTACAATACGTAAAATAATGAATAATGGATTACATTTAAATATTTTATGTCAAACACAATAAAAATAATAATAAAAGTAAGAAACCGCTTATACATTCTTTCATAAATTGGCAGACTTGGTGACTATTATTTCGAATAAAAAAAGCGTTCAAGATGCAAAACTATGTCGCTACCCCCCTTAGATATACCAAACCTTTTCACTGGCAGCTATTTTGTTTGACAGGTCGTTGGAATGTCTAATTGGTTATAGAAAGAGAGCTTACTGCAAATTACGACCGCCATCTGATAACAAAATTAAATATGCTCCAAAGACATGTAACAATATTGTACTTTACCAAATTGCACCTGTGCCAATCTCTATTCTGAGTAAATTGGTTAAAAAAAAATTTATATCCAAAAAATCACATAAGACTTACAGCGATAATTGTGTTTTCCCTGAAAATTACAATCCTAATTCATTGGAACCTAGCTTTTAAACCTGAATTATTAACATTTTTACCTACCTTTTAAACCAAGTGTATGTGTGAAAGGAAAAAGGATGGCATTGTATAAACCATTTGCAGAGATAGTCAATAATAATTATAAACTCTTGTTAGACAACTCTTATATACCAAATTCATAGCAGTTTTTTTGTAGTGTCTATGGCAACCTGTAAAAATGAATCATAACAATAGGCATACAAATAAATTTTTAAATCAGCAAAAATTGGTTCATATTTTTAATGATTTTTACTTACTAATCGTGTGTAGATGTTTTTGTCCGATGTTAAGAGGGAGAAAATGTTTCCCGTTAACGATATATATTAAGATATATTTGAATATGTTATTATTTGGAAAACTTTTTTAATATTTTTTTTTTTTTTAACAACATTGCTCAGGATTGGGATTCGCACAGTTGCCATTTGGCAAAGTACAATGTTTTTACAAGCTTTTGGAGTATATTTTATTTTATTATCAGATGGCGGTAAAAATTTGCAGTGGGCTCTTGGACTATTATGATTTGATTCTGTATGCGCCAGAGATACAAATCCGAGTTGCGCAATGTATAAACTGGAACATTGAGATCAAAAGTGCCGACACAGACTGATCGAACTGATTCTTTAGCTATAAACTGTGCTTGCAGTATCAATGACGCCAAACAAGGTTTGTTCCAACAACAATTTTGGGACCATACATAAACCAGTCCACAACTTATTGTCGACGACTGATAGTCGACGACCTGTCCACGACCTGTCGAGGATTGGGACGCGATTCGGAACTTGGATGTGTTGGAACACATTTTTATGTTGTCAGACACACTCTGTTAATAACGTCAAAGTAAAAGCAAATTTAACAAATGTAAAATTTTGAATTGGGAAGTAAAAAAATTATAAAACTCATGAAAAGATTTATAAATTTTAATTATTTGATTTTTAGAGTTGGTGGTGGTTTATTTACGAGCTCACTTTCGTTTTGCGCATATCTTGACAATTCGTTCATATTCACACCCAGGAACTGATTTGACAGTACAGAAACTGGTTTGTGATTAGGTTTGGGTGTGTTGGAACACTAGGTTTTTGTACAGTTTTGAGTCCGAAGTTTGTTGGAACACCAAATCTAGACTGCGCAGAATCCCGACAGTACGCAAACCGATTTGCTATTGTGTTGGAACAAACCCTAAAAAACAGACCTAGTAGTTATGGAAATAAAAACCTTTATTTATTTTACGAAAACATAGGCGTAGTAAGTTCAATTTTATTCCAAAGGTAATTATGCATTAAATTTTTAAATTTGGCTTTCACATGACAATACGCTTATTTGAACTGTCACATGTCACACAGTCAAATTCCTTATAAAATTACCTTTTCAATGATGTGTCACACTTAGTACTTTCCCTATTTCAATTTCATTGGTAATAGTGACAGGGGTGGGAATGGATGTAGGATAGTTGAGGATATGATCGAAAGATGTCCCCTTTGAAATAAAAATAAACCTCTTTTTGCATTTTCTTTAAAAAAAATATGTCTTCAAGATATGCGATCTGTTTAGTTTTCGGTGCCTCACCCTGTATACTTCGAATCAGCTGCTACGATAGTTTATTCTTTAACAAGCAAGGAAAAGTACTTATTTCCTGAGGCTCACGCTATAAGTCATACGAATAGGAATTGAGCATTCCTTGTAAGTTGAACACTATACTTTTTCTGTGGTTATAACACCCTATAATTTATAAAACTAAAATGGCACGCATATTGTAAGATAAAAATAATTAGGAAATTACTACTTTGTATTATTAGAGTGTAGTTTTGCATTATAGCCGTAGAAAAAATGTATGTTGAGTAGTTGAATCATGTAAGAAAATGATAAAATCGATGAAGATATAGAAGTAAGTAATGCTATTAGAGTTTTTGTGAAAACTATGAAATATTATTATAAAAATTAAAAATTGTGGATTTAAACAACCACCTAACAATCTAAAAGGCCATAGAAGGGGCCATATTTTAAGCTACAGATAAAATTGTTCTCTATTACCTGAAATACAAACATTTTGGGTTTATTTGCAAGACCTTTGTTGTTTTTAAATTCGGTCCAAAATTGATCTGCACGAATTAGGTCATCATTGGTGTGAATTTGGTTGAATTCTTCACCGTGGGATAAAAAGAACACTATAAGACAGTTGTATTTCGAAAGATCTCTTGCTGCAACTAAAAAAGAAAAAATATAATACACAAATCTATGGAAGCGCAGAAGAACCAAAATATATATTTTTTATTTTTCCGAATTAGAAATCAAAAAAATTAATTATTCCGATTTACAACTTGGAAAAATCTATTATTTGACTTAAAACTCATAACAATACAGGGCGAGCCACGCTCATCGAGATTAAAAATTCATTCTTACAAATTTTGGTGCGTCTGAATTTTAAATGGACGATAAAAATGAAAACTTTTTTGGCTTAAATCTAACTGCTTTGCCACAATTCTTGTGCTTGTGTTAGGATTTTCGATGACGGATAGTTTCGTCATTTGTTGTGGGCTTATTTATGATACACTTTTCATAAGCAACAGTACCAGTTTCACGAAATCTTCTTAAAAGTCTTTAAAAACATATTTCCTGGGATCATCTTGGAAGAGAAATCGTGATGTATAAATTTTAGACGTCAATAAACAATTTTCAAGTATTAAAATCATTTTTATTCTCTCTTCTCTCGAATACTGGAACGTAGTATTTATCAACATGTTTGTAATGCAATCTCAGCTCAGCAACATGGTTTTGTTAAAGGGCGTTCCACAGTAACAAATCTTTCTGTGATCACACAGCAAATAGCTGAAAATATTGATAATCGGGTCCAAACTGACGTCATCTATACGGATATGACTTGATCATAATATTATGATACAGAAACTCTGCGCATTTGGTCTTTCTAATAGTTTGATCACACTTTTTCAATCGTATCTCTCTCAAAGAACACAATATGTTCAATTAAATGGATTCAAGTCTAACAAATATTGCGCCACCTCTGGTATACCGCAAGGTTCAAATTTGGGTCCGCTGTTATTTAATATTTTTATCAACGACATTGGTGACGCTATAAATGTTGATTATTTGCTGTATGCTGATGACTTAAAAATATATTCAGCTATTGAAAATATTTCTGACTGTGAACAGTTGTCGGAAAATTTGAACAAAGTTGTTGAATGATGCAACAAAAATGGTCTTACACTGAATCCCGTCAAATGTAACGTAATGTCATACACATTAAAAGCGCATCCAATTAAATTCGATTATGTCCTTGATGGACGTTTGCTTTCTAAACCCAACAATTTTATGGATTTAGGGGTTACATTTGACCCAGTATTGTCGTTTAAATACCACATAGATAACATCTCAACAGCTGCAAATCGTATGTATGGATTCATAGTACGAGTGGGCCGTGATTTTAAAAACACAGATACTATTAAATCATTGTATTTCTCATTTATTCGATCTAAACTCGAATATGCCTCGTTTATTTGGGATCCTTATTATCCAATACACATTTGTCGGATAGAGTCCACACAAAGGCGTTTCCTCAAATACTTAAGTTTTCGGGCAGACCAAATTTATCCACCGATTGGTATTACTCAAAATGCTTTACTGACTAGACACAGATTGACAAGTCTCGACGTAAGACGAAAGTACTTCTCCATAATTACCCTCTACAAAGTTGTTAATTTTAAAATCAATTGTGAAGCTCTTTTACATATGCTTAATTTTAGAATCCCACGCGCAACCTCTCGAAACACTGAATCATTTTACATAGCGACTCCTCGGACAAACGTTCTGAAGTTTTCACCTGTATATAACATGTGTAATAATTATAATAATATTAGTGAACAGTTGGATATATTTAATTGCAGTGTTAAAAACATAAAAACACATTGTTTAAAATAATTTTGAATTTATTTACTGTAATTTTAGATTAATTATCTATATGCCTTTTGTTAAACTGTTTTCTTTCAAATGTACTCCTGTTCTGTAATTGGGTTTAACCTGTTGAACAATGTATAAATAAATAAATAAATAAATAAATAAATAAATAAATAAATAAATAAATAAATAAATAAATAAATAAATAAATAAATAAATAAATAAATAAATAAATAAATTAAATAAATAAATAAATAAATAAATAAATAAATAAATAAATAAATAAATAAATAAATAAATAAATAAATAAATAAATAAATAAATAAATAAATAAATAAATAAATAAATAAATAAATAAATAAATAAATAAATAAATAAATAAATAAATAAATAAATAAATAAATAAATACTACTTTTATTTTTATTACTCACAACTATCAATTCACCAAAAATAAAATCACACGTTTCAAATAATTATTAAAACTAAAGATAATTGTGACGTTTTAACAATAATTATGGCCTACTCTTCGCGTATACATTTTTCCAAAGGCAACTTGATTAAGAGTAAACCGGACCTCTGCGAAAGCAAAAATGTTTTAAAGATTTTCTAATATAAAATTGCATTTATAAGCACGGCACTGGGAATATTAAGTTTATTATGCTTCTGGAGAATATAGAGAGCTGCAAATGTGTACGATAATAAGGCAGCACTCTACAGAGACCTTACAGAAAAAGGTGGCAAATCCTTCCATTTAAGAACTACTAGATATTTATTAAAATAAAAATCTGATGTGTCCAATACATGACTTTCCTATATAGTTATTACAGTTTTCAGTTATTTTGTAACAACCTATTGTAGCACCTTTGTAAATGTTTAGAGAATAAACTAAATATTATACATTTTCCACATTCATCTAACTCGAAACAAGAATTATAAGGTAGGTGAATACAATATCGCCAAGCTGGCAATAACGCCAAGGGTTCATATCTTGGAAGGTTTGGTTTCTGAAAGACAAATGGCGCTTGGGGGTACTTTCTCAATAGTAAAAGCAATCTAAATTTTAATTTGTGGTGAATTATAACCTCACATTTTCGTTTAGCAGTTGGTTTCCCACCTAAACTGCTTTGCCATTACCACCACCGATGTAAGTGATTACTCGTGATATTTATTGGATATTTCAAAGATTGTTCAGGTAAGTGCTTTTTTTATCAGCAGTAGTTTTTAGTAAAGAATGAGCTATCAACTAATGGTAGACATTTAAAAATCGTCTATTTTTTCCCGAAGTAAGCAAGAAACAATAGAAATGTGCGCGTGTTTGTAATATCGCCAAAATGACCGCGTAGCAATATCGCCAATAGCGATATTGCCAGATATGAATATTTTTCATGTTTTCTTGAATTTCTACTAAAGAATCTTTCATTATTTTACAGAATCGTCATGAATAAAGCAAGAAACCGAGGTATCAGAGGGAAATGATCGGAAGAAAATATGTAGCGTGCAGTTGTTGGAAATGGCGTGTCTGTGAATTCAGCAAGTAAGGAATTTTTGGTTCCTCGTAAGACCCTGAGAGACTACTTACGTAACCATCAAACAACAAAATCTGCTATAAGTCGCAAATCAGTTATTAATTTAGAACAACAGGAAGATTTGGTGTGGAAGAATAATTCGTTTGGCGGAAGTAGGCTATCCCTTAACTTCGAAAGTTTTACGGCGATGCGTGTTCAATTTTTGTGAGACCAACCAAATTCAAAATACGTTCAATAAAGTTACAAAATTGGCAGGCCGATACTGGCTAAAAGGTTTTCTCAACAGGTATCCGAATATTAGGAATCGGAAAGCTCAAAGCATGAACTCCGCGAGAGCTCAGAAACTAAATAGGTTTATAGTAAGTGACCATTTTGAAAAATTGGGCGAAATTCTTGCTAACATGGACATCATGGATAAGCCTGGGCATATCTACAACATGGACGAGAAAGGCTGTCGGTTAGCATTACATCACCAACAAACAGACCTTGCAAAAAAAAGGAGCAAAGCGAGTGCACCTTGTGGCAAATTTTATTTAAAGGAAAAAGGATGAAGCCTGAATGGGCAGATACACTTCCGGCGTCTAGTATGGTGTTAATGACTCCGAAAGGTAGTAAGACCATTGATGCTTTTAAACAATGGCTGCATTATTTTACCAAATACAAAGTTGCTGGTCAATCGCTTTAAATTTTCGATGGTGCTAAGTGTCATCTGGATTATTCTATTCTCACGGTCGCAGAAGAGTTGGGTATAGTATTATATTGCTTGTTAAGCAAAATAACGCCCGAACTACAGCCTATGGATAGGTCTGTGTTTCGCTCATTTGAACACTATTGGGATGATGAAGTTTTTAAATACTGGTAATCACATAGGGATCGTGCTATAACAAAACAACGTTTTGGAAACATTTTTTCTGTAGTTTGGGACAAATGTATGACACCATCATACATTAAATCTGTTTTCGCAGCAACTGGAATTTATCCGTTCAATCCGGACATTATACCACCCGAAGCATATGCTCCAAGCAGTGTAACTGAACAGGAAAATCCTAGCCAACAACCGCCTACGCAACATACTGTCATGACACCCCCTCCAGGTCCTTCCAACAGTCGTCCCATTATTTCACGTACATCACTTCCAGATATCTCGACAGCTGTTTAAAAACGTCAACAAATTCAGTTACGTGACATAAGTGATTCTGAAGAGAGTGAATCCCTGCCGTCCGAATGCTTATGACGATAATACAGATAGTGACGCCAAAGAAGACGAACAGGACGAAGAGAGTTAAGAAAACCAACACACATCATTTTCTGATATGCTTACCACACCTGAAATGATACAAATATTATGACACCAGGCCAAGAAAACCAGTAATCAATTCCAGAGCACAAGTTGTTCCCAAACACCTTTTCGCCAAGTCTGATCTAACTGTCAACACTTCTACTCCCAAATCTAAGAAACTTGCACCAGGGAAAAAGTCCTTCGGCCCGAAGAAAGCGACCAGTAAAGAAAGTTGGTATTGCAAAGCATGCAAAATAGACAGAATCGCAGACATGCGTCTTTGCGTGTTTTGCAACAGCTATTTACACGACAACTGCTTGGGACTAACCAAGAAGAATAAATTTGAGGGTTACATTTGTCCATATTGTTTCTAAAATTTTTTGCTTGTTTATTACTGTTTATTATGTTATCTTTTTATTTGAATAAACGTTAATTTAGAAAAACTGACTTTCCTTGTAAAATTTCCGATAAAAACAACATTTTGTACGA